AGAATTTTAGGTGTATTAGAGAATAATCTATGGAACGGAACACATATCAAATGATCTATTCAAAGGCATATATGTAACATGGCTTCATTATTTGATAAGAAAAACTGCTTGTGGACTTTTCAGGTGTATGTTCTTTCAGAGAGTTGACAGGAAGGGACTTGTGACCTAACTTTCCCACCGGATCTACCTCGATTCCAACTTCTTTTTCTTGTTCTTGCCTTTCCAATTTCTCATCTTTTTTCCATGGCCATTATAAACCTCTTGTTGAATTTCCGTATTTAAATTCATCTTTCTATTCTCTCTCCTCTTTTCATGATTGTAAGGAGTACTGAAATTTAAGGGAGTTTTAGGTCCCACTAAGTCAAAAGGGCAGAGGTTGCTGGGTCAATTGTTATGGGATATGAGAGAAGATTGAACTCCCTTAGAAAAAAATGCTTTTCCCTCTCCCCCCAGTCATTCCAGTTGTCCTAGCTTCCTTTTTATTCCCTTAAGTCACTCAATTATGTTCTACCCTTTATCTCTTTTTGTACGAACCAAAGATCCACTCTTTTTTTCTTTTTAAAATCCTTCTGCAACCTCATAGTTGTTCTGTTTTCCTCAATCTTTCCGGCCAGTTTGCTTCATCTTTCTCCAACAAGTTTTCCTTATAGCTGTGCTGTTTTCCGCAGAACTCTCTCCTCCTCCTTCCAACCTTTACTATCCTTCTTTCCTCCCAATTTTCCTCCTGCCTTTTGTCTTTTCTCCCTTGTCAGTTTGTATAAAAAATATAGGGAGAAAGATAGGTTGCCATTCTAAAAAAAATAAAAAAAATATAGGGGAAAAGACTAATTACTCCCCTCCCAACCTTTGTAGTCCCAAATGAGCCCTCGGGTCCACAGAAAGCCCTTGGGAATCCTCCCAGTTTTTAGAATGAGACTTGAAACCCTCTCCCTATCTTTTATGCAACATGATCTATGATATCACCCTTTATGTAAAGGGAATATGACACATTGGGACAGAGCCCATATAACAACCATGAATCCCTCCCTGTTTAGGATAGAAACCCGTGTTGTACCCCACCTAGAAGAGAGAACAACACCAAAAGACGAAAAAAACCTACTTTCTCATTCATGATTGCCACAATAATGAGAGAAATCAGTAATTTCATGCATTAGTCTCTCTTGACATGCCCCCCCCTCCCCCATCCCCATCCCCATCCCCATCCCTACCCACCCACACACACACGCACACACACACACAAACAAAAAGCAAGAGATCCAAAAATCAAGTAAACACAAAACTCAAAATGTATTTTCATAGTTCAAACCACTCCCGTGACTAACTAAACCCACCACCAAGAAGGATAGAGGGAGGGAGGGAGGGAGTCAGCCGTCAGTAATGTCATGAAATAATCTCCTTTGATAGAGCCCTCCAAAGCAGCAATTAAAAGCTGGGCTTAAAAAAGTTTGAAGGTGGTGAACCCTTTCGTCTCTTACTCTCCATTGAAGAAAAAACTCTCTCTCTCTCTCTCTCTCTCACTCCCTGTAGCTTTCAGTGGGTTTTATTTCCCATCTGCCAAGTCTAGCCCTTTCCATTCTCTATGCTGCCAACTTTCAGTGGATCTCAGCTCCCCTGTAGCTTCATCAATATTACCCCCCCTGAACTTCCTAAATACCATCACATTCTCTTCCACTTTGTATCCTTCTTCTTTCTCTATGTTCCTTTGTCATTGTCTTAAATAATTTCATGTCATCTTCTACCTTTTCTTAGGAGCCTGAAGCTTAGACCTTTACAAATTTGGAATGTTCCTGTCACAGTCCTGGAGGCATTCCCTAATACGATCTCAGGGGCCCATAAGCCTAGATGCCCCAAAACTGAGTGGATTAGGCAATAAAGATAAAAGGGAGGAAATATTGTAGATTCCATTGAAGTTCGGTAACAACAATCATTTAACTGAAAGATCCAGATGATCCTGTTACAGTGGTCCAAAGCAAGCACTCCCATACCTGAGACCAGTGCAGGAGCTGCAGTTCATCAAAGGAATGTTTTCGTGAGGAGTTGGATTCTATCTAAGTGACCTGTAGTGGGGCCAACAAAGGAGTTGGGTGCCATTGATTCTGTTATGCATGAGGGGCATGGGACTCATGAGAGTATGCTCTTTAAGAATGTTATTCATTTATTTGTTTTTTATTTTTGGGTGATCATTTGCATTTTTGTTACAGATGGGTTGGTTCTGTATCTCCATCTTCTAAGATATGTGGACCAATCTCCTTGTGAAACTTGTTGCTCCCATGGACCTATTTCATTCCATTCTCTTTTTAAGTCTGTTCAATCTGTAGTCAAAGTCGATGCTCTCAGTTGAAAAATGTGCCCATTTGCATTGTAGTCTTGTGATGTTGAAAGATCAAACCATTTGGCTTTTCACATCCGAAGCTGCAGTGATCACTTGTATTTATTGACATTGGTGAAAGTAAGGTGTACATAGAACACTGTCAAGAGCTTTCTGAAAAACTCTACGAGAGGTACGAAACTGAATAAGTCTAAATACAGAGGACGGGTAAATCCAATGGTTATAATGAAACATCATTCAACATAATAGTTATATGCAGAGGGTTAAGGTTTAAGAGAGTTTGTCATTTCCCTCTCTTCCCTCGTGGATTCAAATACAGATGGCCTACTTTGAACTCAACGTCCTTATTAGCACAACTGGGGATTGTCTTGTCTAATGCAGTGAGGAACCTTCTGGGACCCAATTTTCTGGTGACTTTGTTCCCAGTTGGGAGTAAACCATGCTGCATCTAAGCTGGGTCCATTCCAAAGAGTTGTGTTTTCCTCTGATAGTTTAAGGATAAAACTTGGTTGACTAGGAGAAAATAAGTTGTAAAAAGTTTAAATTTATAAGTGTCTCTTTGGTCAATTGGGGTAGACCGGTAATTAACAATTTACCAAAATTATGGATAGCTTATACTTTTAGACCATTGTCCAACATTTGATTGACCAAAGATACCCCTGGGGAGAAATATAATTTGAGCAAATCCAGTCATTTAGGAGACTTGGAAATGACCAAGGTCAAGCTGATGCAATGCATGTACATATTTCATCAAAACCTTATTGATAATGATCCCTGTTGCCAGTGTGCTTGCTATAGACCATCTCCATGCACCTTGAGGTCAAAATGTTCGTACTAGTGTTAAAAGAATTGCCTAGCCAACTCTGGAATCGCCAAGTCAGTTTGGATTCAGAGGTTACCCACACCTGGACTCTTGGGCTTGTAGGCCGAGGTACCCTTTTTTCTTGTCACGTGGAAAAAGGTGAAATAGTTTTTTTTCTCAAACTTTTTTAACTAGTAATCTGTATCCAACTCTGATCTTGATTGTTTTGAATGCGAATTGGACCCTCTTAGGCCCTAAAATTATTCTTTTGATAAAAAATTACATTTCGGCAGGATTTGTTTTTTGAAAACTCTCACCATTTTTTAGCGTAAAGCCCAAGTGCATTTCTTGCACTCTCTCTCTCTCT